TGCTGGGCTCTGGCGATCCTTCCACCTCAGCCTTCCAAGTAGCTGGAACTACAAGCGCACACTGCCATGCCCAGCTAATTTTTTTTTATGGTAGAGATGAGGTCCTGTCAAGTTGCCCAGGCTGTTCTTGAACCCATGGGCTCAAGCAGTCCCCTCACCTCTGCCTCCCAAAGGAATACAGACTTGAGCCACTGCACCCAACTGTGAATGAACATAATCAATAGCCTTTCAAAACTTTGAACCCAACCAGGACAGCCCAAGGCAGCATCTTTTCCTTTTATGACTTAGCAAATACATTGCTCAAAGCAAAGGCAACATGAAGTAGTATTAGTCTTCTAGTATATATCAACATTTAGAGAAGATTGAACCATATGAAAAATGATATTTAGAGGCCACATAACACATCTTTCATGTGAGTTTTTTATTACTTTATTGAATTTTTGTTACTAAAATAATACATATTAATTGTAGAAATTTCAGAAAATACAGAAAAGCAAAACAATAAAATCATGCTTAATTTCAGTTATATAAGAAATATTTTTTATTTAACAGATTATTGTGACATTTTCTCAGTCATTAGTCTTCAACATCATTGTTTTTTTTAAGTAGGAATTTATTAAAGGATAGAAAAACTCCCAGCAATGAGAGGGGTCCCAAAATGGTTGTCCCATTTTTTAAAGCTTCCTAATATTCTATTATATAAACCTATCAGTATTCATTTAATGAATCACAGGAATTTTAACTTGTTTTCTATATTTTGTTACTGAGAATAAAGATGCAATGATATGAGTTTATTCCTTATTCATTTTATAAATTCTTAATAATTTGGCCCCCTTCTCCAAACATTGCACTTAACTCAAAAGTAAATTTGCTCAGTTTATTCACTCAGTTATAGCCATATTACCTTAAGCAAGCTCTCTCCTTAGCTGCCTGTGTCTAGTAACTAATAAGTAGTCAGCTTTTTTGGGTCTGGCTATTTAGTTCCCTTGCTCAGGGAATAGGGTTAATGGAGGTCAATGTCATGGGATTTGAGCTTGTTATATACAGGCCACTTAGTTAAATGTCCAAAGACTGTTTCCCTAACTCCAAACAGCTGTCATTTAATATCTGGCTGCCAGTTTCCAAGGAACTGGGCAAAAGAGCATGGGTGGATCAACACTAATCCATCATCACTACTGGAAGGATAATGCATCAACAGCTTCATCTTCCCTGTGGAAAAAACAGCCTAGAAGAGTATTCATGATCAATTACATAAAAGTGGAGAAGTTATCGAAAAAGGAGAAAGAATCATATTGGGAAAGTAACTGGATGACCTTATATGTTGATTTATAAATTTAGTCTGTTGAGTATCCCCCCCTATTCCTGTGTGAGACAAATTCAGCAACATGTTTCAAATTGCTGATGGTGCTGTTATTTAACTGACAACTTTCTCTTGCAGCTGACACAGCGCTTGGCATTGATGATGTTTATGATGAAAAAGGATGCCAGTGTGATGTATCAGTGGAAGACCTCACCCCACCACTTAAAACTGTCATTAGAGCTATCAGGTCAGTGAATTATGTTGTTAAGTCCTTTTTGTTGCAGGTAAATCTTCTGGAATAACAATTTCCCTTTCCTATTCATCCACTTGCCACATAAATTTTGAACTTTTTTCTTAATACAAAACTTTACTGTATTCATCACACAGTATGTTGTACAAGGTGGGTGGATTTTAAAAAGTCAGGCTATGTCAGAGAGATTACATGAATATCGGCTTGTCATGTATCTTTGTTACCTAAAGGACGTTTAGTTTATTGATACAACTGGATTTTTAAGTTATTTTTATGCATAAAGAAAAGACCTTGTAGGTTATTTTAAAACAGATTGAGTTCTGAAAATAGGGAACCTGTAGTACAGTGCAGAAGCTTGATCCTATCTTCTGAAATGTAATTATTAAAAGTTGATTTTAACATGTTTCCTCTACTGATGGCAGAGAGCTGATAGTAGTCAACACGGTGTGGACTAAAGGAACTGCTGTATTCTTTGCCTGCCCAGTTTAATGCCTTGGAAGAATTTGCATATGTCAAGGAATGCTGAGTGACTATATTGCAAAATAAATAGATACCTCTGGTCTTTTGGATATTTCTGGTTCTTACCAAAAAGCCAGAGGAAGCTTAAAATATCCAAACCAGTGTAGTTCTTCATATGCTTGGTCTAAGTCAAATATCAATATGATTGATTATTTACATCTATTTTTAGTTGGTCGTTAAGCATTGTTTTCCTCTATGGTTGAGAGTCACTGGGAAAGTAGAAATGAGTTATAAAGATTTTGGTAAATGTTTCTGAGGGCAAAGAAAATCATGATATGATGAAAATATGTGTACTCCAGAAGATGCTTAAATATTACCTGTAGCAGCAGCCTAAAAAGAAGTGAAGTCCATTTACTTCCCAATGAACCCTTCAGTAACCCTGTGGGTTGGAAGACCATAACTTTTTATTTGTTCTGACAGTCCAGATTAGGCCTCTTGTCTCATCATAATTGTTAACAATGCTCCCCATCTTTCTTCAAGTATCCCAGTTTGGACAACCAATTATTTAGTCACCCTACCCCTGGGGAACCTAGATATCACTAGGTGGTATGTAAGCCCAGGAAACCCAGAAAGTGAAGTAAAATGATGCCTGAAGTCTTCAGTAAATGGATAGAAAGGATGTAGAACTGAACTGTGCAATACAATACACCCAAGGCTATTTAGATTTGACTTAATTAAAATGAAATACAACTTAAAATTCAGTGGATCAATCACACTATTTACATTTCAGGTGGTCCATAGCCACAGGTGGCCAGTGGTTACTGTATTAAACAAAGAAGAGATAGAATATTTTCATCACCACAGAAGGTTCCATTGGACATTGCTGGCCTAGAAGTCACCTTGAAATTCTTGACATGCATTAGTTATATCCATTAAAGACCCTGAAGTGAAGGTGGGGCAATTTAGTCCACAATTTATTTTTTTATTTTTATTTTTATTTTTTTGAGTTGGAGTCTCACTCTGTCGCCCAGACTGGAGTGCAGTGGCCACTCCCGGGCTACCGCAGCCTCAACCTGCTGGGCTCCAGCAATCCTTCCGCCTCAGCCTTCCAAGTAGCTGGTAGTCCACAATTTAATCTGACTTGCAACAAGTATGGAAAATCTTATCTAGTGGAAACAGATAAGTATCCCTAAAAGTCATATTTAACCCAGTTAGTGTTATTTCCCAAGACCTTTTGAAGCTTTCTGCTTTTGCTTCACAACCTATAAAAAGGATTGTGAACAACAAAAAAAAGGAAAGAAAGAAATAGGTTTATTCTGCTAACTAGGCACTTCAGCAGTGACATAAGATGTACCTTCTTTAATCTTTGTTATACCTTCTTCTTGAATTTGATTGATATTTGTAAATTCCTTTGGGCAGCATTCCCTTGCCTTCTAGAATTCTTCCTTGGTTCTTATTTTTTATGAAACTTTGTTATTTACATGCCTATCTTTTTGTGGATTTCTGAAACTCTCTGTCTGCTAAATTGTGACACTTGAGGGGGATATTTTTCTCTGCCATATCCTTATTCTGCTTAGTGTGCTTTTTAAAATCACTTTTAAATTCCGCTTAAAATTATTGAATTGTAAAAAACCTAATCACTACATGGAATAGTTTAACAACTTAATTGGAAAATTTTCACTCATGGTAATACTTAATTTCTAAAGACACATAATTTTAAAACCAACCAATACAATTAGCAGTTTGGAAAAGAGATTTGCAGGTGTAAATCTTGTAACTTATGCAAATCTCATGCAAAAGTATTATTTTCCTGAGCAGTTTAATTGCATAAATAAGTCCAACATCAGCCGATTGAAAAGTTTTTCGCCAGAACATGCCCACCTCTTGCAGCTTCCCTGAAATAGTATTTTATATGTATATTACTGATTACAAGTGTGAACCCTCTGTTATTCATCTCTAAAATAGCAGCTTTGTATTGACATTTTCTCTGTTATCTTTTATCATTAGAACTTTTAATATGAATATTTAAATATGTTTTTTGTACTCCAGTAGCTCTTACAATAATAGTTTCTCCTAAGAGTCTAATTAAAATGTTTAACAAAAGTATGTATTCTACTGCAAGGATGACAGTACGGAAAATATTACTTCATTCACAAAAAGCAAAATTAGAATTCTTATTTTCAATTACCAATATTTATTAGACATCTACTATTTTCTAGAGATGATTGAAGACACTGTCTGAACTTATCTGGATTTTACTATCCAAGTGCACTTTGAGATTTTTTTTCAAATGAATGATGTCACTTTCTATAATATATAGTGAACAACGACTATTCTAAGGGCTATTTCCAAATATATCTTTTACTCAGAAGAAAACTTGGTTTTGTGTATGTCTTGTAAGATTCTCACAGATTTGTCTCAAAATATTATTTCATGGAAATGCATGAATTTGCTAGAAATGCGTTTTCAAACTTAATTCTGGGAGTGAAGATTGTACTTGTTTTTAGCAAAAGCTCTAGATTTCGTTACTGATTCAACTCAAACAACGTTAATTTCTTTTCATCCACTCATAGGAATTAGCTTCTAAGTGGAAAGAAAAAATTAGCAGGAAAGAAAAACAAACAAATCAGCAAAGAAACAAATTGACAAACTCTAGGGTATTCTACACACTCACTGTTTCTTATGTCAGTTTTCCTATCACTGAAAAATATTGCCCATAAATTACCTGGATGAGTTCCTTCAAAATGTCCAGGATCTGGCTAATTGGGAATATCTGAAGAGACTGACTGACTCTTACCTTTCATGCTAACACTTACCATTGTAGACACTACATAAATATGAATTGTGGAAATCATTTCACACAAAAATTGATACATGCTTTTTTATTCAAGATAACAAATGTTTGAAAGCCATGTCCAACTTCATTTTTATAATAACCCCAGAGTAAAAACTTTTAAAAATGCAAAAAAAAAAATTCCATTTGCTTTCCTACACTGAACTGGTAGGTGATTTTTCAGATATGCACACCAAGGCTGCATATAAGTGCTGTGTGCTAAGGATTGGGCATTTGAGGAAAAAGCTCTGTCTGTTGAAATGGTACAATGCAAAGCTTTACTTCTTGCCAGTATCGTTTTCATAGAATTACTATGTCTAAGATCAAGGTCACTCTTTTTTTCATTTTTAAAATGAGTTATTTCAATGGATGTAAAATTACTTTGTCAAATTGCTATTAAAAGTTTCTAAGCACTAATCTCTTCACAGACTGGTACCCAACAGTTGGTGAAAGATCTCCAGTCCCGAGACCACACTTTTAAGGCCACTCTTAACAAGACCCTCCATGACAGGTTTTCTCCTGTTGGCTTGTTTTTATAGAACCATATTTTCTGTTTACCAAGAACTACTGGATCAGAATACTATGCCACCTATTCTTCATATGAATATAAACACCTAATGCAAATTACACATTTTTTCAAGAGAAATGACCAAGCAGTTGATTGTGTCCTGTTCTTCTCTTAACATCTCCATGTAGTAATCACCATACCTACTGTGTTTCGCTCTGCACAACCTTTTTATTTCCCAGGTCAAACCAGCCTTTTAGTGAATCAAATGAATAAATTAATAGTCCAGGGTGAAAACTTAAAGAAGTCTTTAGATGAAGCTGCAGCTCAACTCTATCCTGACACCATCGACTAATCCTACCCCATTCTTCAACTCTCCCTGGAGCGGCTTGGGAGAGACGGTCCAAGAAAAACGGCAGGCTGTGTGTGACCTTAAGCAACACACAGTCCCTCTCTGTGCTTCCATTTCCTCATTGGCAAAGTGGAGATGATAATAGTGTTGACCTCCTAGGGAATGAAGAAACATTTGCAAGGCACCTGGAACAGTGCACATGGTAAGCGCTGTATACATGCTAACTTCCTATCACGCTTGAGTTGGTGTGCTCCTTCTGCCTTCCAGCTTACTGGCTTCCCTGTCCGGCCTCTGCTCTGGGTCCACCCTTTCCTCTGTGAGCCCCATCTGCTCCCATGGCGAGTCATATGAGAGGAGCACTCCGTTCTGTCTTCTACAGGGTACTCCAGCTTCCAGAACATGTACAACCTTGGCCGCCTTCACCCTCTACCCCTGGAAGCGCTTATTGTTACACCTGGAGGTTACCTCCCCTCCATCTGGACTGAGAAACGCTTCAGACCTGGATGAGTAACTTTTGCACCCCAGCGTGAGGCAGTGTTCCAAGTAGATTTCTCCTCTTTCTCCTTAGGGGGAGCTTGCTGCCTTCATAGGCCCCTTCTAAAGAAGGAAGAGGACAACGAAAGGGAGAAGTTATGTCTCCTCTCTCCCCTACCACCTTTGCAGAGGCCTGATCACAGACTCTTTAAAGTTCCTCCCAGGGGGTCAGAGTATGTACTCAAAAAGGAGGTCCTGAGCTTTGACTCTGCACCAGGCACAGAGATAAGCATTAACAAGAAACCCTGCTAGAGTTGTGACTGGCTGCCAGAAAGTGAAGAGCCCATTACACTGCAGAGCAGTATATCCCCACG